TCATTTCATTGTCTGCACATGTTCACCAGTCATAAAATCGCTTATGACAAATATTTTTTCTTTTCCTTTTTTTTTTTTTTTTTAATGGTAAAACACTTGGAGGTTATCTATGCAAGGCTTCAGTCTGAAATTTTGAGTTAAGCTAATCAAGGGCAAGCTGTCTGCATTTCTACTAAAAAATATTGATTAATACTGAGAAATATTTCAACAGTTGTTACTGTCTTCTTATTTTCAGTAAGATTCTTATATGCCCATTTTGTTTTTTAAAAAAGAAGAAATGTCTAGTAAATAACAAATTTAGATATAATTCTTTTTAAATCATGGCAAAATTTTAATTTCGACTAAGCTTTGATAATCCATTAACATCTGTACCCTAATTTAAATAGAAAATTCAAAGTTAGAAATTGTATTTATTAGAATTAAAAGCAATTTAAAAAAGATGTTATAACTTTATTTTCTAAAAGAATCTAAGTGTTCCTATTCATACATTTTTCAAATATACTTTCATGTAGCTTAGCCCAAAAGGATTTTGTGTATAAATGGAATATATTTAAGTTTACAGACTTCATTTTTGTTCACATTATTTAACTACATTTGATTTACTTCTGGAAACAAATCTAAAAATTATAAACAGGATTTTTAAATATTTATTCTAGAAGTTTGTATTTCAAATTCCTTATGCATTCTGTTTTTTTTATTTGTAATTGTGTACAATATATGACAAGGAGCTGAAATTTTCTCATCCTCATCCTATTCCTAAAATCAGTAATGACCAAACATCAGCATAGTGATCTTGGGAAGTGACTCAGGCTGAGAAATTTTCAGTTTGCATATATACATATATAGGCTTACCATCTATTCAAGTTTTTGATATAAGTCTTTGTGATATAAGTTTTGTTTCTTGAAGCTTAAGAGGTGTTGAGTCATGAAAACGTTTCATTGTAAAAGAAAATTACATCCATAATAAAAAGTGAAAACTGGCTGACTAATTCTTGAAATATATATATATATATATATATATATATATATATATATATATATATATATATAAATAAGGCTGACTAATTCTTGAAAAATATGATGTGTATGCGCATATATATCTAATGTAAGTATGCATATATAGAGTGGGGAAGCAAAATTTGGAAAATTGCTTCAACTTTTAAAACTCACTTATACATAAATAGGTATATTAATAAACTTCATAGCTAATATCAAAATTAAGAATTTATTCAAAGTAGCTTTCATAATTTTCAATTACAACAATATGATCTTGAAAATATGCACAACGTCTTGACCACAATATCCTTGGACATTTTTCTCTCTCCTCCTTGGTAGCAACCAGATGGTTAGAACAAAGGCTGGGTGGCTATAGGTGTAAACTGCTTTCACATGTAAGACCTCAACAAGGCAATGTTTTTGGTTGGGATTTTAGGTGATCAAGTGGGCTTGTTGCAAGTACCAAATAGTGTTAAGATTACAACTCTGATATATATTTATTTATTGTTTTTAAGGTACACATGGAGCCAAACATTTGCAGAAAGATAATGTTTTTTTTTTATGTATAACAATGATTCATTATATTCAGGGAAGGAAACTAATAAATATCTAAATAAAAAAAGGTTTCAAAGACATTTATTTCATGAAATGGTCTGCTTGTTCACCCAACTATAACCTGATTGACAACTTGTGGAGCATTCAAAAGAGTAATGCTTACATTAACGGACAGCAATTTACCAACAAACATGAACTCTGGAATGCTATTCTGGATGCCATGCAGTCTGTTTCAGAGGAAGAAATATAATAGCTCACAAAATCAATGGATGAATGACTTCTAAAATCTTTTTTAGAAAATGGAGCCTACATTTCATCATAACGTTGTCAAGTTTGTTGTCATTATAATGACAGTTTTCAATATTTTTGCTCAAAACAGTTGTCTTTGTAAAATTTATGTACAATCTGTACTTATAAATTTTAATTAAAACGTAATGTTTCTTGGAGTTTCAGTACTCTGGTTAATAATGTGAAACTTGGAAAGCCTATTAAAATTTATAAAACTGTTGCCACATCATAAGAGTGACCATATAGATTTCTATAATTTTTATATATTATGTGAAATAACCCAAACATTAATAGTGCAAAATTTTCTGAAAAAATTAGTAATGTCTAATATGTGTGATAAGAATTTTTCAGATCTTCAAAGGAAAATTTTATTACTTGTTAAAACATATTTGAAAAAATATTTATCCATATTTTTCAAAACAAGATCAAATCAGTTTTAATAAAAGGAATAATAGACAACTTTTATAAGTTTAATTTTAAAAAAATGTACAAATATACAAACATCAATACAATTCCTTATTTTTTTAAAGATTTGTTTTTAATAATTTATTAAAAATATACGCTTTAATATTAATATACATAATCTCAGCACAGAATTTTCTTTTATGTATGTATTTGAGTAACTATTGTTTGATGTTTTTGTCAGAATTATTTGACTTGGTTGTACTTAAAATATACCTGATTCTGTTTAGCAGTCTTTAAAAATGATCATCACTAAGAGTATATAATGGCTAATATAAGTGTTACAAAATATTTTTCAGTTAACAATTTAAATGTTTGTATAAATTAGCATATGGATGTATGGTGGAGTAATGGATAGCAGCTTGGATTGAGAAATTGGAGAGCATATTTCAAATTCCAGTTAAGTGAATGTAATGAACACATGAGTTCATTACATTCACTTAACTGGAATTTGAAATATGCTCTCCAATTTCTCATACCCTTAGGAAAGGTATAAATCCCTCTCTTCTTCCCCCAGTTATGGATAAATAGTAGAACAGACTTATAGCCTTGGGTGGCAAACAGTCGAGAAGAATTCAAAACCTGTGGAGGGTCATTGTGATATGCACCAGTTCTCTGTATTTGGCTCTTTCAAAAAGTGTGGTTGGTTCTGCACAAGGCTTCATCACTTATAATCAAATGATATGTGCAGGTAGTCTGGCTGTTGGTTTTAAGAACTTAGCTGCTTGACCCTCATGTTGAAAATGATGGGAGAGTCTGGTATTATAAATTAGCATACTTGTATTAGCAGTTTAATTTTAAGTCGTAACTTTAGATTTTGCTTAGGTTCATTTTTAAAATTTATAAATTTAAAAGAATTTTTGAAGAGTATTGATAAGATTCATCCCAGCATAAATATGTATCAGTTGTGTACATATATTGTCAAATCAAACTGTTCTTAATTTAACTTTTAACCAATACATTTAATACTTATTTATACTCAAGTTCACCTAATACAAGTTCCAAGAGCCACTGAAATAGCAGCTTACTGTTAAAATGGTTATGATAAATGAGGTGTGATATGAGTAAAAGAGGTGGTGGTAGGAAAATTATAAGGATAAGAAGGATAGTTAATAATTGACCCTTGACTTGAAGAGGTTAAAATTGTAGTGTCCAGGAGTCTGTTTCACAAAGTAGCAATTCTTCATTTGGAATATGGTGAAAATGAAGGTGATTTGACTCTGTAGAAGTGGCATAATGTATTGTATCATTAAGTCTGAACTGGTGAAACTAAAGAATACAGATATTTTGAACATTGGCTATACAAATAACAATAGAGGTATGATAGGCTTGTTACATTGTGTCTGTGAGTAAGAGGTTGCCAGGTAGAGAATAAGTCTTCCCCTACCAGACTGTATAAATAATTTGGAATTCTATCAGTGTTGGTAAGTGAAAGTTGAGCAGTTTCAGCTCAGATATGGCAACAATATTTAATTTTTGATCTAATATGACTCATGTAAAGACAAAGCATGGTAGGAGTAGTCAGGTATTTCCTGGAACAATAGAATGAGCCAATCATTTCTTCAGCATCTTAGCAAATGCATTGTATATCTGAGTTCCAAATCTGGAGCAAACTTGAGAACAAGATGTTTAATACATGGAACCTTTGTCTGACAAATGAATTGTCCCCTAACTTACCCCCCCCCAAAAAAAGTATGCTATTTGGTAATTTAGTCAGATTTTCATAAGTATGTTGGGTCAAGGCATGATAATTTTGACAATAGTGGAACATTCTCATGAAGTCTTTTTAAAAATGAATGGAAATATAAATTAATTATATGGAAATAGTTTACAAGAAAGTTTTGTTTTTTGTTTTTTAAATTGAATTTGTAAGTGTTCAACCAGAATATTTAAAATGCAAACATGATATTTGCAAATTGAAATTGAGTGATTGCTTTAATGCAAAAAAGATGGAAAAATATTACCAAATAATTCAAGGTATAAAATAATGAAGGTTAGTGATGCTTTTCTGCATATGATTTCAATGTGTTTACTAAATTTACTTTTTAATGATTTTCTTTGTATTTTTTCTCTTAGAGATTTATAAAGTTGCAACTTTAGTATCATTAAAAGTTTGATAAAAATATTTTGATTAGTGTTATTTTCATTTAATTTTTAAGCTGAACACTTATGTCTATTCCTTTTCTTCAAAATACAGGACTTTGAGCACTTGCCATTTTTGCTGATTTTAGTGGTATTTCCTAATCATTATAATTATAAATAGATTTTTCTAAAATCTCACTAAAGAATAATATTTCCATTATAATCTCATTCAAGATTTTCTTAAAATAATAATACTGATATTATTTCCTGTAGAAATATTTTAATCTATTTCGTGGCAACAATGTATAACACACAGATATACACATTATTTGCAATAGAAACTGAACATTAAAAAGTCAGCTATAATTATCTTATAAAATTGGAGTATTTGCAATTTTTTATAAAATACAACCTTGTATAAAACTTATCTTTTAATATTTTTAAAACTAAAAATGAAATATTCTTCAGGAATTAAAGACTTGTTTTTTATTTAACTTACTATTTTAATAATATTTTAAATTAAAATTTAAGCAATTGCTTAAATGATAAATATATGACCCTTGAATTGTGAATGCCACTTTTTGACTTGACACATAAAGACAGTAATGCAAGTATACCTGTGCATGTGATTCCTTGGCTTGGGTTTCCTTCAAATCCTTTGTTGCAGACACAATCTTCAATACTTAGATGGCTTTTAGATTTTGTATAAGAATTCTCTGGACACTTCTTACAGGTCTTGTTACTTCCAATATAATAGGTGTTTTCAGGACAGACTGTGAAAGAAATGTTTTATTTGTTAATCTGATATACTTATTACAAGCTTAGATTAATGAAAATCAGTAATGAAGATATTCAATATGTATGCAACATATAGTTACTACTTGCATTCTTTAATTTCTGATAAAAAAAAGATGGGGTGTAGTTATAAAGTCATTCTCCAAAAATCAGTTGTTAAAGATTTGGATTTTGGTGCCATTACTTTTTCTCTGTTTTTTGTATTTGTCCAATCAACTGGTCATCAAAAAGGTGTTCAATACTTCATATGTTCATTAGAATTGTTTGTTTTTTCATAGTTGATGTTGACATAATCTTAAGGTTTGAGTAGTCAGGGATTTAAACAATGTAAACCAATTTTTCTAACAGTCACAATTTTACTCAGCAATTATGCAATTCATCAATTATGAATTCAGTTACTAAAAAATTATCATAGTGGTTTGTGACCTCAAACTTATTGTTGTGTAAGCGATCTGGGATTGCAAAGGAAATGTTTGTCGCAGATTATTTCCACGTCACAGAGAATAAATCACTAAGTTCAGACTCGAACATCAGGGACAGAAAAAAAATGCCGAAAACTAGATTCGCAAGTACTATTTCATAAATCACAATGCACGCAACCAGTTAGAAAAATAACTCACTCTCCAACAAACGTGGCAGCCAAAATAGACGACTTTTTTCCACCTCGATTCGAGAACACCAACTGCTTTTATCGGCCGAGTATTTTTTCCATTTGTCGACATCTGGGAGAGGATGTTCAGTATTTTGCATATCAAAATACTTTTATAGCAACTCCTGCGATGGACTTGTTTTTTAAGTCAAATATTCCATCTTCAGCATGTCATGCGGAATATGTGCCCTTTTGTTTGGTAAGTAATTTTCTTTTTTGCCACATTTTCCATTGTAGAATATATGTGACACGCTGTCTTTTGGTTTGACAAGGTAAGTCGCCATTTTCTTCGCTATATGTTGTTTTTAAAATATTTGCCTTAGTGGAAATGATTTTTATATTTTTCTGAAATGGTAAATTAAAAAATGTTTCCAACAGCTTATTTATATAAACTAAAATAAAACAGACTTGTATGTTTCAAATTCAATTATATGTATTTTGTGACCTGTACCATGTAATTACACATCTCATAGTGAAATATAGATAAAATTAACTTCTCTTTTTTTAAATATTAAATTTAAAAATTTGAGTAGTGTACTTAATTCACTTCTTCTATGATCTCAAATATATTTCATTACTGTTGATCTTGGTCATAACTGAGGTCAATTATCTCCAACAAGTTTATATATTCTGTATTTGGGCTATTTTATTAATTGGAATTCTAACAAGTTCTGATATTAAATTTTACACAGATTGATTGTCAACGGGTATAATTATACACTTCATTTTAAACATTTTTGAAACATAAGCAAGTGAACAAATTTACATATGTAATTTTTCATCAGTTTCACAAGCAAACTATAATTAGGCTAAAGTTTTTCTAAGAAATATATACTGTATATCTTTGCAGATAAGATGACATTTGAATCATTCAAAAACACCCTAAAACTAGAGGTCATCTTTATAGGCCAATACAAATATGAGTGACTTACCCCTTTTGACAACAAGGGGACAGTCAAACCACAATTATGTTTTAAACTAATTATTAAATTAAAAAAAAATTCAATTATTAATTAATCTAAATGAATTTATTTGTGAAAAGAGGATTTTGTAAAAAAAAAATAATTAAATTATAGAAACTTTTTTTAAGTCAGTCAACACCTACTTTATTTAATTTTATGAAATCTTTAGAAAATATCCTTTGAACACTAAAAACTTTTTTATTTCTATGAAGATAGGTCTCCAAAGAAATTAAATCAGTTGAAATTTTATTTTTTTGATTTTTAAATCAGTTGAAATTTTATACATAGATATATACCCTGAATTAGAAAATAAAATAAAAATTGTAATAAATGTTATTTTGTTTGGAAAATGTTCAGTTACATTTTTTATAGATATATTGTAGACTTGAATTGTAAAAAAAATATGATTAAAATTTATTTTATTACAAAAAATGTCATGAAATTCATAATGTTTCCAAAATTATCATCATTCTACTTGGATACTTCTGAAACCATATTATTAAATAATAACAGGGTTTTATTAATCAAGAAATGTAATGTCAGTAAATTTAACATGTATGTAAACAAATCTGTCAGTGACCTTGTTTAAACTATTACCATTCTTCTTCTTCTTTATGTACCATGTCCCTTCAGGATGTAGGTGATCATGGCTCTCGACTTCCACCTATCCCTTGTAGCTCTCAATAAGTTTCATCCTTTTGCCACCTCTCTCAGACCATGTTCTGTCATCCACTTGCTTAAGCCTGCCAAGTATGTCATGCATTGCTTTCCCTAGTCTCTCTTCCCCTCTATTCGACCTGAGAGTATCAGATTCTCCAGGCCCTCCTTTCTCATTACATGTACCAGAAATTTCATCTGCCTCCTCCTGATGTTAAGTATAAAACTCCTCCATGTTTGCATCCTCTTCACAACTTTCTGTAGAAGGTTTTGCAATTTCTTTTTTGTGTCTGCTATCAGGACTGTGTCATCTGCATATTTTATGTTGTGAAGATTGTGACCACCAAGGCTGAATCCCAGTAGGATTTCCAGTTCTCTAAGAATTGCCTTGCTGTATAATTTGAATGTCTGGTGAGAAGACACATCCTTGCTTTATGCCCCTTTTCTATTTTGTATATCCACAGAACTCATTCTCTATGCGCATGCATGCTGTTTGCTGCCAGTGTAGGTTCTTGATTATTCTAATATCTTTCTCAAATATATCAAAGTTGCCGAGCAGTTTCGACAGATCCTTGTGGCGTACTTTGTTGAACGCCTTTGCATAGTCTATAAAACATCCTTCTGCATTTGTATTGCTCTTTCTGAGAGCATTCTGAGCATGAATATTGCATTCCTTGTTCCGGTGTCTTTAATGAACCTGCACAGTTTTTGTCCTATCTCCGGCCTGATTCTGCTGCACACTCTATTCATCAGAATACGGATGATGAGTTTTGTTATGTGGCTCATTAGTCTGATTGTTTAAGGAGTTCATATTCATTTGCACCTGGTTTCTTAGGCAGTGCGATGAAAATAGATCTGCTGAGATCTTCCAGTATGTCCCCACTGTTGTGGATTTCATTTATTATTTCTGTGATCTTGTTTATGCCAACTTCATCTAAGACTGTCACCATTTCTGTTACAATTCTGTCTGGCCCTGCCACCTTGTTTCTATTCAGTTTGGCCAGTGCAGTTTCTACTTCAGTTTTTAGGATTTCAGGTCTGTCAGTAGTTCTGTGTATTGCTGGTTGTTCTTTTTTGCCGTGGAAGAGTTCTCCAATATACTTGCTTCAGCGTTAAAGAATTTTTTCCTTCTCTAATATGAGTGTTCCATCCTTTGATTTTAGGCAGCCTGTTGATGAGCATGTCTTTTGTTCTGTTGTCTTATTTGTTTGTGCATAGCTACTTTGTTGGTGATACTCAATCTCTATTTCTGCACATTTTTTTGTTTAGCAACTCTTCTTTAGCCTGCCTGCATTTGGTCCCTATTTTATTGTGTAATCTGTATTCTGTTTCATATCTTGGCAGAGTTTTCTGCATCATGTTGAGAAATTCATCAGTCATGTATTTATTATATGTTTCACTGATAATATACTGACAGTTCAAACAATTTAAAGGTAATAAATTATCATATTACCTTATTATTGTTAATACATTCAAGGTATTTCATCCATTGTATTGATATATCATTGTATCAGTTGTTTGGAAGAGAGTTACATTTTCACCAATATAAACTAATACCATGAGATTCAGACTGAAATTTTGATCTTGTTTTATCTGAAAGTTATTTTCTCCACTGATACATATGGTAATTTAGTAAATTTACTTAATTTTTTTAAAACTTCATCTTTAAATAAACTTCATGGATTTTATTAAACTAAATAGAAATCTTAATTTGAGTTTAATTTAAGAAACATTGTAAGCTTATAACCATAGCATTGTATTAATAGTCATTTTTTTAATTGATCAGTAAAATCATAAACAATATCAATAGAAATAAAAACTTAGATTATTATTTAAAATTAAAATTAGCTTGAAAAACATTTTATTATACAGTAGTTATAAAAATATAAAATATATTTAGTTTAAAAATTTAAATATAAACATATATAAAAACTGACCCCAAAATATTCAGTATTCAGTCAGTATTCAAATGCTGATAATACTACAATATAATAATGTAAATCCTGTTCAGAAAACCTTTTAGATATTTACAATACACTCGAAAATTTGGTTGCATGCTTTGGTCTCAAATTTTTCTATATGTCATTAAGTAATAACCAGTAAAGAGTTATTTAATTTTAGACTTGACAATAGTAATGACAAACAAACAAAAATATTGCCCATCATTTACTGCTTACTTACACTGACAAATATGTCCATCATCAGCTAGTACTTTACCATGTTCTGTGCAGTCACACTTGTATGAGCCTATGATATTGATACACTTCTGGCTACAGCCGCCATTATTTTTTTTACATTCATTTATATCTGTGAAGAAGAAAAGAATATATGAAATAATTTTCAAGCAAATTTAAATTTTTGAGGGAAAAGGCCTTTTATTATCAATATTAATGATAAATCTTTGGATTTGAAGACCAAGATATTTTTGATGAGCTATCTTTCAATCAACATGTCAGTTGTATTAAGCAAATGTAGAAAGAAACTGAAACTCATAGTATCAGGAGATATGCTTGTTTCAACTTTAAACTTTATCTCATTTAATAACTTAGCTTTCTTCATGTCCATAATATATTGGTTATGTTACTTTCATTCTAATCATTGAGTAAATTTATAATTTGTTAATACTATATAGGGAGCAATTGAATTAGCACATTTGATGCTGTTCATTAGAAATGGGTTTTCTAATGAATAATTTATTATGAAACAAAGCACTATTTAAAAATATCAGATACTGTAATTAAAATACCCAAACTCTAACAATAACCTATCCTTTGCCTCGAGAGAATTTATACTTGTTATTCCTTTTTATATTAAAGCACCATGTACAAAATTTGCATTTGATGCTTCTTATACAATGTAGATACTAAGGGTTTTGATTGATACTGATACAAATATCAGCAAATAAATATAAAAAATATTGAGCCCCAATGTATATATTAGACTTTTGGGTACAGTTTGGTATTTAAAATAATCTCATTTGTTTTGTAGCACAAAAATAAATTCAGAATTTTTCAGTACTGTAACACAGATAGAATTATTAAGAGATTAATTTTACATTTTTGTAATGAACATTATCTACTTGTTAATTGGAGATTGCACAAAGTAAATCAATGTTAATAACATAAAAGTCGGAAAAAAAAGAAGTTATATTTTTATTAAATCAACATTTTAATACATCATGGATAATTAACAATACAATTGTTTTCTAGAATGCTCTGTTGATGAGAAACTATTGGATTACATCTCAAATAATTTACACAGGTTTGGCTTTATTGTAAGGTATAATGCCTATTAGCTTTCATTAAATTTTGCCAGGGAAGACTCATGAACACAAAATCAAACAAACTGGAAACAAAGATACTAGATAATGATACTTTTAATAAGTGATTTTGTGATTTGAATATCGACATTTAAAAATTCATTCAAAGTAGAAGTAGAATTCTGAAGTGTTTTATAATAATCATGAAAATTGTGATTACTGAAGCTTGAGCAATGTAAAGAATACACAACTTGATTATGTTCAGCACCTGAGAGAAATATAGATACATATGTACTGATAGATCTGAATTGAAATTCAAATATTACATTTCTTTCAGTTTTGCTGAACTTGCCCATATACATAGGATTTGAGAAATTTCAACATTTTGAGAATATTTTGTATGTCTGCTGGTTTCAATGTTTTTCCTATATCTTGAAAAGTCTAAAAAAAAAAAGTTACAAGCTTAAGTCATTTTCATTAAAAAGAAATTATTGCATGTTTTTATATTGGTTGACAATTGAATATATATGTATTTTTATTTTTATCTTCTGTATGCAGAACTTAGAGATTTCTAAAAATTAAGTAACTCAACAGAAAGTGTAATCACTTTGTCCTATGGCCTGTAAAGTAATTTTGATATGGAGAAAAGAAATGAAGTAGCTAGTATTAGGCAATATAGCATTTTATAAATTTATGTGAACTCAGGTTAGTCAGAATTCAAAGGGTATAATAGAAAGGCGGAATCAATAGTGCCAGCTGTTTCTGATCTTGAAGCAGAGAATCACGAATCAAGTTCTGAATGCAAGGTACTATTGAATTGATCAAAAAGAGACAGTGAAATTGAATACAAAATACAAACTTTCACCTAAAAGAAACAGTTATCAATTAACAGATGCATTCCAATTGGTAATTTGACCAAAGAATGAATACTATGGAAATTTTACAAAGTAAGCAATATTGTATGTATTATATAATAACAATCATTTTTAAGTGATAATAGTTTGGTCATATTTACAATTTCATTTAGATGGAATATTGTATTAATTTCTTGTATTTTTAATTTTTAACAAATTTCAATAATCTCAATCAAATAAGGTAATTTTTAACACTGTGTGTAATTTTATATTTCTTATGAAACATTTTATATTCTTTGTTTTTAACATTTAAATATACTTTTCAGTATTGTCTTTGTTTTTACAGAGGATTTTAGCAAAGGAACAATGTTTGAAACTTTGTAGTCATTGAAATTTTGTCAGTAACTGTTGTATATTTTTAAGATGTTATAAGTAACCTAATTTTGTAAATTCAGATAAAAAATAATATACTAGAAAATTTGGCAGATGTTAAAAAAAATTACTATCTTGATCTAACTTTTAGAATTCGTATGAAATTTCAAATATAATTTTCTCTAATATTTAAACCATTTTGTCATATCTTTGTAGACCATGTCAAATATTTAATATATGATTTTTTTTTTTAAATTTTAGTGTTTTGTAGAAAATATTTTAGCAAAAATGAGAAAGTGCATAACTCTCAAGTAAAATGGCTTTTGATAGAATTTGTAAACTCTGTAACTCCAAACTCTTTCAATGATCAATTTGATTAGATAATTTCTAATCAATTTAACTTCAATGATTTTAAGTTCATTTACAGACTCTTGTGGATGATAAAAAAACAGCTGTGCTAAATTTAAAAGGAAGAAAAAAAATCTATTGTTAAAAAGAGTAGAAAATTGTAGTTTAATGAATTTTTTCCAAATCCTGCATGACCTTTAGTGATAATAGGCATTTATTTTATAATCTATCTTAATGAGTTTTATTTAGTTATTTATTTCTGATCAATATGGGATACAGTTGTTACCTAAAAGAAATTCAATACAAAACTTGGAATAGCAGTGACTAATCTCAAGTTATTTCAATGTAGCAATTATCCACCAATAATCAAATAAGGTGATTGCTGAGAACCAATCGAATTTCACTAAAATAAATACAAATAACTTCCTTTACAATTGAAAATCTATGGGTAAGATAAACTTAGAATAAATTTTATAGTAAGATTTTATATGCACACTATGTTGATTACAGTTACTTATCCTTGAATTAACATTTTATTTCAAGTTCTTTTTTTTTTTATTTAACCTTGTTTATATTATATACTGTTTAAACCAGCCAATTATGTTTATTGGCACAATGTATAAATAATGATTAAAGAATTCAAATTTCTATCCTTTCTGATCAGTACAAACATTATCTAATGCTGTGAAGTTTAAGTTGAAACTTTGGAATAATAAAAAAAGTAGTAAAGAGCAACAAACTTCTTCTTACCAAGGCAAGTGACTCCATCAGCTGCCATTGTATAAGTGTTCTCTGGACAGGTACACTTAAATGAGCCAATCAAATTCTCACAGCCAATGCTGCATCCACCATTATTGACTTTGCATTCATCTATATCTAATTTGTAGTAAAAAAAACAAAAAAAACATAATAAAGTTATTTGAAATTTAATTTGTTAATAGAAGAGTTGATAGATTTTCTTGTTTTTTATTGATCTATTGATTTTGATTTTTATCACCATGTAACTATACAAAACAAGATGTTTGCTTTTTTATTGTATTTTCTGTTTATTGAAGGGCTGCTTTTGGTAGTATTTATATAAACCTATAATCTATAAAACTTGTTCAAATGACACCAAATTCAAAATTTATTTAATTTATCATTTATATAACCTTATATTTTAAATTCCATATTATTACACTGTATATCATCCTTGGATATTAACACATTTCTGTACTTTTACAAGTATATGATCATATAAGCAGTGACTACCATCCTGTAATACATTATTAAATGATTCTTATATCTGTTGACAAAATACACTAAGAATTGTAAGTGAACCAAATGAATATGTCAGGAGTCATCTCATCATGTCTTATAGCTGTTCATTGGAAACTAGGTCTTCTGATAGTGCCAGCTGGAGAAATAAAATATTGCAGAACATGTTGCATACCATATACTCTGAGAACAGCATATATTCTTTTTGCAGGAATGGCAAAAGAACAGGTAGAAAAATATTCTGGATGTACATGGTACTGTTCAATGTTCCATTCACAAAGGGACTGAGCCAGTGTGTCATGGCCAAATATATTTTGGAACATGTCATTCACCAGGTCTACATTATGCACAAACGCACACAACCAGCAGTTACATGAAGGTAGAATCTACTCTCATCACTAAATAATACAGAGTACCATTCAATCCCTTAGGTGACTAACTCATAACACTATTGGAGACATGTATGATGATGTGAGATAAGTGAAAGTCTGGCTAGAAGTACATTGGCCTCTAGTTCTTCAGGAAGCAAACGATTCTTAACAGTTGATGCTGACACTCCTTGGAAAACATTTGCTCTGGTCTGTGCTTTGGATGCAGTGTGGTCTTACAATGCATCAGTCTTCATGAGCATCTGTATCACATAGCCATCCAGAAAATGTTCACTTGACAACTATTGCCAGTTTTAAAGTACAACCAATATCACATATCCAAGATGTGTTGCAATTCTCTAAAATGACCATTCAGTTTCTCAAATGTTCACAATTCATCACCTCTCAACTGGCTCTTATTGAATATGTGCACATGAATGCACAGAACCATATCACGTGTCTCCATTTAAATGCACTGAACCATATCACATATCTATTTAAAGCTTAGGCAGAAATGGAGAATTGCTATATGTATTATTATGTCAGAAGATTTTGAAAATTTTATTTGAATATCTGCTACCTTCTTGTGTGTTCCCAGCATAGTCCTTTAAGGTTGTTGGTTCCAATCTGGCTAGGAATGACTGTAAAACACTTCCCCTCCCCAATTTATAGGTAGAAGCACACAAATGCATGCTGGGATTTCTTCCTAGCCAATAAAATAGGCCAGTTCTTGGTTTCATCTGACACAGTGCTGGTCTGTCTTGTCTTGAGGTCAAATGTTATGTTTGTTTATCTGAATTTGCTCTCATGTGTCAAACTCAATTTTTAGTTTGTGAACTTTTTGCCATATTATTGTTAATATGCCTTGCATATATTGTTTGCTTGTTTTATTCTATTTTTGTCCTGTCCTGTTGTTTTCTTTTTCTTCTTATTGTTTATTGCAAACATTGTATATTCTGTTTGTTTGGGTAGTTCTGCCATTTGTTTACATTTAACCATGAACACTCACTCTACAAATTTTATTTTCCATTAGTGTATATTGTATCACATATTGTTTTCACATGAATAGGTGTTGGTTGGAATTCCAGTTATCAGCATGAAAATTAGAATTGATGAATTGAATTCATATTCCAAGTGAAATTCTTTGTTCACTTCACAGAGATGCCCTTGTCAATAGCAGAGGTCCTTCTAAAATATTACATCAATAAGTCTATAGAATAATGATAAAAAGTATTTTTATACAAAAAAATATTTATTTTTCAATGTAATCTCCTTGTTTGTGAATTACACTTAATTTAATGGAGAATATTAGTTACAGATGGAACATATGAAAATTTCTGATCAAAATTCACCTAATAATTAGATATTAAGCTACAGAAATATTGATCCACTCTTGTATGATTCCATTGCCATAATACTGCCATGATGATTAATAGAGAAAAGATTAATTACTGGCAAACACAAACCACTCTCTCATAACTACCCTATCTGCCTGGGCAAGAGCTCTTACTCTTGGAGTCAACCATGACAGAGTTCAATTAGTATTTGGAAGCTATTTTTAAACTCAGTAGGCAAACCATTCAGACAAAACTAAGTCTTTACTATCTTGGCTGTATTGATCTTTTGTAAAATTCCCCAGTTTTTAATTACTTATTCAGTACAAAGTGACTTAGTCAAATGATAAATCTAGTGTATATTCTTAACAATTATTAAGCTGATGCAAAAATCTCCAGCATTTGGTGACAAAATCCTGATTTTATATAAATTCATAACATCAGTATTCAGTCATCAAATACTTTCTCTAGATTTCTAGAACTTTACAAAATCTTTCTGGTAAACTTCTTGTGTATGCCATCATAATGATTGCATTTTTTATTTGAAAATTTCTTCAAGATCTTGATCTGAAAATGATAGGTGTGGAAAATATATTGTATGTGGATGAACTTTCCATCCCAGTTGCATTTCAAAACAAGAATGATATTAAAATGCAGCATAATTCCAGTTGTCTTTCTTACTCAGAGAGAGTTTCTCTTTGAATGCATTATTTCTATCAGGTCAATTACTCATTGCAGTTCTGTGCACTAACAGTTTATTTAGGTTCCAGCAATTCATAATGTAGAATCATTTTTGAGTCCAGTTTTATTTTCCTTCATTTGTGAATATCTTGTTAAAAAATTCTATGATTCTCCTAATATTTAAAAAAATATTTTACTGAGAAATTTTATATCAGCCTAATATTCTAATAATTATTGAATATTATCAACATTTTTGACTTTGTAATAGTGTGTTAAATAAGAGTCTTCTATCCCTCCTCTCTTCATTCAGTTTGGGGTGTTAACTTCTACTGATAAAGTAGAATGTATTGCTTGTAAATTCTCTTCAAATTCTACTCTTTCCTTGTCTGAAGTATCTTTGCCAGACTTTCCACTTAGTCTCTATTGAGTAATATGTGTATAACTCTGTTCATGATTTATCTGTTATCTCTAAACTGAATTTCCACAAAACATGTGAAGTTAATGGTATCCCTGCAATAGTCCTTAAGAAATGTATTCCTGAACTGGCTCCTGTTCTCTCTAAATTCTGCAATAAATACTTTGCTGCTGCTTGCTTTTCTCCTTGTTGAAAATCCTCTTTAGTAGTTCCAGTCTTTAAGAATTCAGGCAAACTGTCTGATTCTTTTATCAGGCTACTAGCCTTCTACCTCTTTTTGGTTAGGTACCTCCACAAAATCGCTAAAAAAAGAGCATAGCTTGATGAAAAAGACGCCAAACTTGCCGAAAACTAAATTTTATTGTCTAAATGCTTATGTTATTATTAAGAGGAAAGACCAAAGTTTTTTTTTTTTATTTTTTAAAAAATTTTCCTTTTTTTAAACATTCTAAATTTTGATTAAAAAAAAACTTTTTTCTATTTGTATCAGCGGAACTAGTAAATAACATAGACAATTTTTAGCATGTTTTTTTTGGTATGACACACATTAATTTGAAAAATCGTGCAAAAATAGAAATAATTATCAGATGTTAATGAAACTTTCAGAAACTATTCACAGATGATCGAAATTATTATAAATATGTTTTTTTTTATGAAAGTCATGGTAGAAATATTTTTTTTTAAATATTTATTACCCCCATAACTAATTTTATGAAAACGCTAGAAATTCGATTGCATCGGTTTTAGTGATTACAATAATTAAAAAGCACAGGGCTTTGAGGAATGCAAATCATGTTTTTTTTTTTTTTTAATTGGATACGCAGTACCTGAAAATCAGCTCTGAATTGTAACATACAAAACTCAATAAAACAAAGATATTATTTAATTTCAAATGCTTTTATTTGCTTTTTAGTTGTTTTTATGAATATGGACAATATTTTCTGAAAGCAAAAAAATTTTTTCGATGAAAAATGAATTTTTAATACAATTATTTGTTATTTCATTAATTATAATAGATTTTACATTTAAGTTGTTAAAATATTATAAAATTAGTTAAAAGCTGCATCGGCTTTCATAAGTGTCCTTATGAGATAGATCTTTTTTAGCACGTTGTAAATTGTATCATTTTGACTAATCAGAAGATCCCCAGTAATTAAGAAATGTAATTTTGTGCTTATAATCGAGCTGTAATTATAAAATGCGGAAGACCAACCAGAATATAATTAAGTTGCGTTATTTGAGTTAAGCATTGTTCTCCGCTGTTAAGGCCTTTTACTTTTGAAACACGTGGGAGAAGTTAATTTGATTTTTCAATTTCAACTGAGAAGGGTACCTACAAGTATCAGTATCATCTTATGAAATTTATATGATCTTATTTTTTATATTAATCTCAGTTACGACATTTTTCCATAAATGAAATATCAAAATTAATAATAAAATGAATGCAAATTCAAATAACAGTAGGATGTAATAAATGTACATAAAATTATAGTATTTTATGTACAATTCTGATAAAATTTCATAAGAAAAGTACCTATAAATTAATTAGATACCTTTCTTAAGAAATATGAAATTTAATGTCACTCTTAACAGTTTTATTTTAATTTCTTTACAATATATTTCCCATAAAGCATCATAAACGTAAAGGTGAAAGCTAAGTACAAAAAAAAAAAAAAAAAAAAAAAAAATTAGACCGCTGAAAGTTTTCAAGAAAAATAACGGGGTAAATAATTTGTTCACGTAAATGTAAATTATTTCACTTTTCTCCTTCCGTAGAACAAATTAGCCTCATGGAATTCGTAAATATATCATTCATCACATGTCAAGAGACGCGAAAGTTTATGACCTGCTTTGTTTTATTTTCAAATTACATCTTTTTGGCACAAAAGCTAAGTTGAGTTTGGTTCAAAATATTTTAAATAAACATTATAATTTCTGATTTTCTTAAAATAAGTTTTGAAAAAATGATAATTGATATTTAAAAAAATTTCAAAGTCAGATTTCCAGTTTTTTTTTAAAATGGAAAAAAATGGTCAATTTTGCTGACTCAAAAAAAAAACTAGATTTTTAACGAAAATTTCGGACGTGCTAGGAACGATTAAAAAATGGAAAAAAATACCCCAAAAATACTTTGACCTTTCCTCTTAATAATAACAAACATTTAGATGATAAAATTTTGTTTTCGTCAAGTTTGGCATCTTTTTCATCATGCTATGCTCTTTTTTTAGCGATCTCGTGGAGGTACCTATTTTTGGTAAAGTACTATAGGCTCTAAATCAACTATAAATTGGTTAAGCATTTCACCTTATAGGGTTTTCTTTCAGACAAGCAATATGGCTTTTGCTTCTATAGGTTAACTGCTGATTTATTAATGGTTACTGGTGAAAGACTCTATCAAACTTTAGATCAGCTCAGGCTGTTGCTTTGGATATCTTGAAGGCATTTAGCATGTTGGTCTTATTCACAAGTTTAAATTATGGTACTTTTGGATGAATTTTTGATCTGAATAAATCTTTCTTAGGAAATCATGAAATGAAATTTGTCTTGAATGGCCACTCTTCTAGATCTTTTTGCATTAATGCAGGAGTCCTCCAGGGAGTCTTATGTCATTCCTAATCTCATCAACGACCTTCCTGATGTCATCAATTCTCAACTCAGTCTCAATGTTGATAATACAAGTATTTAATTCTGTCTTAATAGTAAGTCTGATCAGTTCAATGTGGTCAAATTGGCAGCTGATCTCAAAAATGATCTACAATCTTTTGTTAAATTGAGTATGAAATGACTTGTTAATTTTAAAACCTCCAAAATGAATCCGCTTTCTTTTAATAGTCTTAAAAAACCTTTTTTGCCTTCCATCAGTATGGCTGATACTATCCTCCAGGAGAGTGACTCATTGTGCCTTCTAGGGTTAATGTTTTCTGTTGACATAAAGTCAAAAGATTATATTGAATCAATTGCTAGGTCTGCTGCTAGGAAAGTTGGTTCACTGTATCATGTTTGACAATTTTCCTCACTAGAATCTATCTTGTACATTTATAATTCAACCATTTGTCCATGCACTGAATATTGCTGCCACATCTGGTTTGATACTTCTGCTATGTATTTAGATATTCTTGTTAAAATTCAAAGAAGAATCTGCAATGTTATCGGCCCTGACGTCTTGGCCTCAGTCACTTTCTTACTGCCATAACATATCTTCCCTGTGCTTTTCTCTAAATATTTTCATGGTAATTGTTCTGCTGAATTTTCTTCTTTGGTACATTGACTTACAAATTTATGTGCAACACTAGATGGCAGCTAGATCTCCTTATTTTGTAGCTGAAATGGCTGCTAAATGTAACCATAAGTTTTATGCTAACAGTTTCTTCTCTCACACTTCTTGCTTGTTTAACTCTCTTTCAGTCTCTTGCTTTGATCTTCAAAAATTTAAAAGCAATGTCAATCATTGTTTTCTGTCTTCTTAATTCCTGTTCTTTTATTGTTCTCTCTACTTAATAATGTTTTTCTTTTTCTCATATTCTTTCATTCTCAGTAGTCCCTTGTGTCTTAGTGGCTTTATTGGGTTTGAAATGATTAAAAAAAAACACTTTACAGCAGAATAAATTTTAGAAGGAAAATGTCATTTTTCTATGCTCTTCTTATCAAAATTCTTTTTGTTATGGCTTTTTTAAAATTTCTTGCTGCATATCTCAGTTAATATCTATTGCCTGTGTAAATACCAGTGCCAAAGGAAATTATAATAAGTTTAAGCATTAGGTTTCTCCTTTATATTGCATTTTAAGTTTCATGACTTTTACTATTTTTTGTAAATTTTTTTGAATATGTTCAATTGGAAGTTTTGCCAACTTTACTTTTTTCCAACATGAAAAGTGAAAGAACTCTTTTTTTTTTTTTTTTTTTTTTTAAGAAATGTTGTATCAAACCCTGATATCTGTTATCTTGCAGATTACACAAAGTTTTCTATCATATAAATTTTCTTTGATTAAAAGCATTTCAGGATAATTAAATCTCATGAGAAATACATAATAATATTCTCATTTCCTCAAAGGTAAATTTGTCCTCAAATATAATGAGCACATTCTCTGGAAGGCTAATTGTGTGTACATTGATGGACATATTTTCTACTTAGTGGTTTATTTTTCTTTCTGAATTCAGCATTGAACAAAATGGATATTTACAATATATTCTAACCATTTCCATAATGTGTTACCTCTGATGGATTAATCATATATAAAAAATGATAAATACAGTAAAATCAAATAGCATTAAGTGTAATCGTTTAATGGCTTTGATATTCGCAAATTGTTTATCTTGTCTGGCAATAGACTAATACTTTTAAACCTTTTACTTATTACCACTTACTGAAGTCAATATTTTTTAATGCTTTTTGTTTTGTTTCTAACTCATCTGTGATCAACAATCATGAGTGACTTAATAATGATGACAAAAGCTACAGAAATTTAAACCATATGAAAATTTGCAAAAGAAAATTCACTCAAAGAAATAATGTACATCTTCATCAATGAGGAACAATGGTTTAATATAAATTATTTGCTTACCAATACAGTGAGATTTATCGGCACTAAGTATAAAGCTTTTATTACAATGGCAAACATAAGATCCTAAGGTATTTAAACACTTTCCACCTTGACATGCCTTCTTGTATCGTTTACATTCATTGATATCTGAAAAGAAACAAGGAGAAAAAGGCTATTAATATTAACTTTTTGTGTATGTGCTAAGTTTTACTTGAACTTAGAAATTCTAAGATTGGAATAAAATGGGATAAAACTTGCTTGATATTTGGTACATTTGACCAATCAAGAAAGAATAGCACTTGGTTTTATTAGATGTTTTTATCAGATTAATTCTATTGGAAATTAATAAGAAAAACATTTAATTTCATTATATTTAATTTTTGAAGATTGTAAGATGACCAGAAAACATGTTTACATTCTTTTAAAAATGTGGTCCAACTTAGACAAGCAGTATTGATACATTGTGCCCTGTAAACTATTTTTAAATTATTGTAAATTAAGCATTTTGCTTGTTGATGATGTGACTGCTTCCTATTCTTGATAACTTTCTTTCTTTCAACTAAGCTGTCATTGACAAGTAACTAATCATCATTGGAAATGTGGTCAGGGAACATTCAAGCAGTTTTTAAATTAATAATTTTTGTATAGAATATTTTTTTTCAGTGGATGAGTAATATTTACAAATGCATTTTTATACTATAACACATATCCAAACAATGACTGCAGGAATGATCACCTCCCATGACAACAGAGGAGAAAAGGCTGCAACACAGAATTATGGAATACTAAAATCTAAGTTTAGCAGTGGCCAAGAGAAACAAGGCAGTAGAACCAGATGAGATTCTTATAGAGATGTTGACATGCTTAGATGATTTGGGGACTTACAATCAGGAGGAAATAGTTGAAATTTCTGAGGAAAGAGTGCTAAGAGAATCTAGCACTCACAGGACATATTTGAAGACAAGAGAAATGTGGAAACAGTAACCTACTTAAAAATGTGTGATGGATGGCTGAACAAAGATAGATGGATGATGGTAACGAGTCAAAAATTACTTAGAGGTAAGTAAAATGTTATAGCAGCAAAATATAAATTGATCTCATCAAATATATCTTCACATCATAGTCAAAGAAACCTGATGCAAATTAATGCAAACACCATTGATCAATAATCATGATGAGTCACATAACTAAACTAATAGTTATGATTCTAATGAATAAAGTTCATAGCTGAATTAGACCAGAAATAGAACAAAAACAATATGGTTTTGTTTAAGACAATAAAACAAGAAATGCAGTTTTTGGGAATGCTATAAGACTGAGCAATAGTAAGTGTAGAAAGATGAATACTTATGTTTTATGGATTATACGTGGAGAAATCTGAAAAATTAGGTAAGTTTGATATACCTGGAAAAGACAAGGTAGTAACCATTAGGAAGATATGGTTGTTAGGAAAAAAGACAAAGTGTGAGTTATGTATCAGAAAAATAAAAATCAGGCTGGTGTAGAAATTTAACTATCTGAATAGTATAGTAACAAAATAGAAAATGTGATAAAGAAAATGTTGTTGACAATAAGAAAGAGTTAGAATTGTAGGAACATATAACAAGGGAAGAAAGTATTGGGAAATTTAACACTCACAAGGTATATTGAAAATAAGACAAAACAGAGTAAACCTTGAGTAAACTACTTCATAAATTTCAGCAAAATGGACAGCAAGACAAGTACCACAAAGTCAAAAGTGATTGTAAAGTGGCAAGAAATATTTATAAAAACAAAGGACAAGTTGTGTGGAATTATGATTGTTAATGTGATTGTAAAAGTCAAACCTGATTAGCTTTAATTTTTGTTTCTTTAAATTATCATTAATAATAATTTACAAATCTATAATGTAAGGATAAGATAACAATTGAAAATAATAAAAATTTGTTTTTCTGTAAATTTTCTATTTCCAATCCAGGTATAATCATTAAAGGAGGTCCTTACCTTTACAATTATGTCTGTCTGGGGATAAGTGATATCCTTTCTTTTCACAGCGGCATTTGTATGAACCATGTAAGTTTTCACATCTATCTTCACATCCAGCATTGTTGTCCAGACATTCATTTATATCTGAGCATTTTTGGAATTAAAAGAAATATACACAGAAAACATTAGTGACTTAAACCAAATTAAGTTTTTCATTCAAGTCTCTTGGTGGCTCTTAACTTACAAAATGACTTAAGTAAAACACTGAACAATTGATAATGTCAGACTCTGAAGAAAAATTAATTTCTTTTATGACTTGTAATTATAAATTGTGTGTGTGTGTTAAATTATTCTTGCACTTGCTCTCTTTGTATTGCTTAAAATTTTGTAGAGAACTACTTGCAAATCAGTAAGAAATTCAGTAGGGAATTAGATGAAAGAAATTGATTTTATCATGTTACTGAATAAAAGATGTATTAGAAAGATTGATTATTTAAAATGAAAAAAAATCAGTATTTGTATCTTTATATATAACAAAGAATCCTATGAAAAGTCCTGCTTTTATCTTTAAAAAGGCTTGCTTTCATCTACACATATATTGTGCAATGATGTTTTGTAAATTTTTTACTTAGTACTCATTAAATGTGGCAATATTGATCTCTCCATTATAAAAAGATATTTTGAACTTGTATTATGAATAGTTTAAACTCTATCAGGTTTTGATTAAATAATGATTTTATGAAAGTAAATTAGAAAGGCACTGTATTGAAAATTTAAAAAAAAATATGATTTTTAATTTATTTGTATAATTTTATTTATTTTATACACAATCCTCAGTTATTAACTGAAGTGGTCAGTAGCAGACAGTATTCCAAAATAAATCTGGCTCAAGGAGATTTCAAGCATAATTGATTGAATCTGAATTTTACAAATGTTTACCACTATATTGTTAAATAGGTACAACATTGAAACTGTTGATGAAGTTGGTATTTATGCTATGAAAAAATACCACATATATTAATTCAACATGAATACTAGATCCACTCAATCTTGGTATACCACTTTAAGGAGCTAATCAAATACAGTAGAATGGATCAACATAAAAATTTGGGTTAAACTGTACAACACTAAACATTTATCTATTCTTTTTTATGAAGAATTACTCTCATAACTAACAAAAATATTTATTCTTGAAAGTTGGATGTTTATATTATAATTTTTTTTTAATTTGGAACAGAAATAAAACTTCATTTTATGATGGGGTTTTGAAAAGTTCTTCACCCAAACTACTTCACAAAATTTGACCAAATGACTGTACATCTAATATATAAAACATATAGGGCAACTTTGAAAATATTTTTTATGGTGAAAATTACATAAAACAATTGATATATTAAAGTATCATGTTTATATATATCAATAATAAATTAATTAATATATTATATATTGATTTATATATATATATATATATATATATATATATATATATATATATATATATATATATATATATATATATATATATATATATATATATATATATATATATATATATATATATATATATATATATATATATATATATATATATATATATATATTATATATATATATATATATATATATATATATATATATATATATATATATATATATATATATATATATATATATATATATATATTATATATATATATATATATATATATTTATATATATATTATATATATATATATATATATATTTATTATATATATATATATATATATTATATATTTTATATATATCAATATTTTATATATATATTATATATATATCAATTTTATTAAATTAAGTATTTATTCAATGATGACAACTTTAATAGTATGTTACTTTTGTTTAATAGGTAATTAAAATTTTGCTTAAGAAATTAAAAAAAAATTTCAAAAATTGATCAAGTAGAGGATTCAGAGAAAAATCAGTTTATGAATCTTGGAGAAATATGGTAGATCTGTTGTCAATAGAGAGCATTACTTGTATAAATTAGAAATATTTAATTGTTGCTATTATGCAGTTGTTTCTTATAGAACATACAGTGGATTATTTCTCTTGCCTATTGTATTTAATACAAAATGTGAAATATTGTACATTTTTTATGTAGTTGATATTTGAGTAACAAACACAAAAGTGTGGTTTATTTCATTAATATTCTGTTCTCTATTTACATCATTCATTGACATAAATATTAATAGTAAAATCAACAAAACATAGTAATTTTTAAATCACATTATCACCTTCAAATATGTTTTATAGTCTTGCTTTCATCAACTATAGATTTAATTATATTTCTGGGGAGGTTCTTTTTGTTTATTTACAAATGTACCATTGCTACAGATGTTTAGCTGTGATATTTTCTAAATAACTTTTTACATATATACTTGTAAATATACTCAAGATAAATTTAATTCATTTGAAGCAACCTATGATATTTTTGTGAGTATTGATATGTGTTAGTTTATCTATATTTTACTTATTTCTTCACAGAATCTGTCTATATTTTTGAGATGAGGTATTATGTACACTATTTACATTATTCAGACTATTGTCCTCATCTTTGTTGCCATATTTATTACAACGTTTTGGCTGTTGTACACTCCGGCCTTCTTCAGGTGGTTGGAATGTCGGACTGAACCCTTTATTTCACTTGCTGGGGTAGACTGTTCTAGTTCCACATGCCATGTCTAATGGATGTCAGTTATCAGTTATCTCCTGTTAATTCACATTTCCAAGTTCTCCCCTGCCTTAACCTGGTATTGAACTCACAATTCTTCACAGAATGTTTACATGAGAGAGATTTAGTCAATTCAAGTTAATTTACTTTAGATATTGTGTACCAAATCGATTTTGGAATCCTTTATATTTTAACAATAATTTAAAAGTTTTGCCTATGATTTTGAGAAGTATCATTAATGTTCCAACATTTTCAGGTGGTTTAAGCTCTTTTTTATGCCTTTAGTTTTGCCAATGCATTTTAGTCCATTCATTGTTTTTTCTTTAAATTTCTACTCATCAATAGATTTATTACAATTTATTACATCTATACAATTTTTTTAAAAAATTAATTTATTTTGTAATTTTTAATGCTAAGTTCCTTCAGGATGCATATGGCCCTCTACAGATCCCTTTTCTTTGTTATCTGTGATTTGCCATGATTTCTCTTTGAAAAAATAGTGGAGTAATTTCTTGTTGCCCATCTTAGACTGGTTGCTACCTAAAACTAGAGAACTCTGTCTACTCTGCTTTTTAACCCATAGCTAGAGAGAGGTTGGGTGAGAGATGGGATTATGTCTTTCCCAGAGTATTTGGTTGAATAGGCTAGGCACATCCATGTATATGTTAAGCTGACATAATGAAAAGTACAAACAGATTAATTGATTACTCTAACAAAACTACCTAGACTTTGGGAATTTTTCCAATTTCTTTATATTTTTGATCTTGCCAATATAAAATTTCAACTGATCAATTCTATGGCCTTCCTCAGGTATATTGTCTACATGGAATAATTTGTACAATAATAAGTCAAGTTATGTTTTTAAAATAGTTATGCAATTAAACAAATGTTATATATTTAAATGAAACTTTATCTGAGCAGTTTCTAGACTGTCATCATTAACCAATATACATAAAATGTATTGATTGCAGAATCTTTTTAGTCTTGTGAAAATGACAGGTGAAAGATAATTTTGCCTTATAAAATTTTAAAATTAAAGAAAAAAGTAATGCATTTTTTAAGCATTTAATTTTTATATTAAACTTATTTTATATTGCCATTAAGTTCAGCTGATCAATGTCTTTTTTTAATTACATAATTTTTTTGTGTTATAACTTAAAATAGAATTAAAGATTCTATCAGTTTTTGTTAATTAGCTTATTGACAATTCAAATATGACCATATTAAAAAATTTGTTAAACGTATTACAATAAGTGAAAAGTTACCACATTACTTTTTAGTCAACATTATTACATCATTGCTTATAATGTAAACTTAATATTAAAAAAATAGAGATTTTAAATTTTAATATATGTATTACAATTTTTATATTTTTGACATATGTTACACAAAATATTGTTCAACATCATAATATATATTATACATGACTCTAAGGAAATAATAACCACAAGTACCATAACCTATTAGAGTTATAGAGGTACAATATGCTCTGCAGTCATAATAGCAGGCTCATCACTCTTCAGGATGATTTCAACTTTGTAATTGTCCTTCTCCTAAACTAGTTGCCCTACCAAGGCAAGAGAGCCATAGTAAGATGGACTCATGCACAAAATGAACAAAACTAACTCAGGAAAATTTGAACTCTGCACACATATTCCACTTTCTGTACCAATAACTATTACCCATACATTCAAGGTCAATGACAATGGTTATCTTTTGTTGTCTTAATTCTTGCTATTTATTTGTCTCTCTCCTTAATAATGTTTTTTCTTTTTCTCTTATTCTTTCTCACTGAGTAACCCCTATGTCTTGGTGGCTTTATTGCCTTACTTGGTGTGAAATGATTAAAAAAAGGGTAGGAAATATTTGAGTAAAAACCATTGTGTGTTCAGAATATTTTCTCATGCTTGTTGCTTAAAATATATGAGATTATAATTTTGTGAATCTGTTACTTTTTAGAGTTATTTACACTTATCAAAAATAAAACTCACTCAGATATACATACACCAATATTATATTTTAATTAAATTACTATAATTATTTTTCAGTTAAAAAATTATTTGATCTAATAAAGGCATTTACACTCATATAAATATTATCTTCCAGTTCAGTTTGGATGCAGGCATATGCTAATCAAGTATATCATTAAGCATAAAAAAGATAAATTTCTAAGTTTTTATTGGTATCATCATCATCCTGCGGCCTCAGCCGAGATTGAACTCACTACGCCTTTCCAGTATTCCTTATCTGTCATAGCTCCTAAAAGATCTTCCTTAGGGATCAATGTGTCTCGTTTTATCCTATCTGGAAAGGTTAACTTGCGTGATCGATTGTCAGATGATGGGTGCCTCCAGAGTACAAATGATGACACAAGTTCATCTGTGGCAAGTGCACAATGCCCGGAGAACTGGACACGTCTTTTGCAAACTAAGGT